TTGGCCCAAAGTCACTCAATCAGCTTTTGTGCCTAAGGCGGGACTAGAACTCACCATCTCCTGGTGATTGGCCCAGAGTCACCCAACTGACTTTCATGCCTAAGACGTTTTGAGTTAAGAGTTTTGCAGCGATAATTCAGCGCCAGAAAAATAAACACAGATGGCTAATGCTTCATTTAACATCTTTATAAACCTAAGTAGATTTTACAAACTAGTTGTAGATTTCTCCAACATGGAACAAACTCAAACAGAAACATGTTGCAAGTTCAGAGCAGAGCTCCAGTCTTCAGCAAGCAAGCAAGTTAGTTTCATCCTCAATAGATCAGCAGGCAAGCAAGTGGAGATAAGCAGTTTCATCTCAATAGACAGACTCAGAGCTCAACATAGCTGCAGAGTTGCATATGGAACCATGCCTGGGCTAATTCTAGTTTCAGTTTCCAAACAGTCCTCATTGGCTGACTTAGTTGCTATGCCTATTCGTTGGCTGACCTTGTTACCAAGCTCTATTCCAGTTCATGAATATACTGACAAGACGGGACTAGAACTCCCAGTCTCTTGGTTTCTAGCCCAGCATCTTAACAGCTAGACCAGACTGGTTCTCTAAGATGCCCCAAGTAGGATATAATTCCTCTTTTATTACGTTGTTTTGATAAAACTCCTTTCATGTCAACGTCGAACCCCTTTTCTTACCTCTTTCCGTTTGGCGACAGCGCGTATTTTCCGCCTATTAATTTCTTCCTTTCCACTCCGGTTCACTGCAAGATTTGAAAGCGAACTGGTGTGGAAGAGAAGATGGTGGAAAGGTACATAATCTAAACATGTATTTTATTTTTATTTTATTTTTTTCCCCCTTTTTCTGGCTTCCGATGCCTCCCTGCTTAGTTGAGACTTCAGGCAAGTCCGCTTGTCAAATTTTATTTGCGTCAAGATTCCTCCCAAATGAGTTGTTGAAAGTGCCAGAGGGAGCTGCCGGGATGTTACACATCCGAAAAAAAACTCAAATTCTCTCTCTTTGGGAGCATAGCTCTGCTCGTCAGGGGCAGGTGGGAAGGAGGAGAAAGTTTTTATCGGGGGAGGGAGAAAAATGAATAAAAGAGCAAAGTTTTAGTCCTCAAATTAGAGCATTAGACTAATTCCTCTGATGTGAATGTTGGCATGGTAGATATTTGCTTTTTGTTTTTTTTTAATGCTTCGTTTGGCATCCTACCCTGAGCAAATGACTTCTTCCAACTCCAGTTATTTTATTTTCACAATCTGGAGCTTGTTTTCCTGGTGTGCAATCAATTAGTGTGTTCCCGTCTTTTCTCTCTCTCTGTTTCTGCTGTAGGCTGATCCAACCTTCGCAAAAGAAGTCGAGGAGAAGGTGAACAAGTAGGTTGCTCTAATATGATAAGGAGGTGATTATTTTTTTCCTCTCCCGAAGGAAACCTCTGTTTATTTTCCTGAATTTCCTACACCCACCTACTCTAATCTACTCTCCTCCAGAGGTTTGGAAGCACAACCTTGAGGGCCTCAGGAATCTTCATGCTATGAGCCTTCCTTCCTTCCTTCCTTCCTTCCTTCCTTCCTTCCTTCCTTCCT